AGTGGTTAGATGTGAGATTCTAGAGAATGTGTAAACAAATCAAAATCCCTGAAATCTGAATCTACTAAATCATGTAACGACTCTAATCCTACTGCCATAAGCAGCACAGCATGTTGCACCATATGGTGAATAAAATAGTTGATTCAGAGAAAAATATTATTGTTTGAAAGAAAGAAACCTCTATCCATTCCCCTTACAATTTTCGAGTCTCACTTTGTTAAATCGAATGTTAAGGATTCTAGTTTTTAGATTTGTAAACATTTTGTTTTCTCTAAGTTAATAAAGAGATTGTGTTCTGATGCTTCCCATATACATGTTGGGGTTACAAGCAAAAGCCATAAGATCATTATTATACCATCTGTTCCAGCTGGTTTGTCTTAGTCACATGCTTTTCAGTGTGCTTTCTGAGCTATCACAAACTGCCAATTAATTATGAAAACCTAACAGGTTGTCAGAGGTTATAGTACTGAGACAGTGAGATCATGAGTCAGTATATCCTGGGATCGATTACTACTGATTTACAATTTCCAGAACACCTTCTGTGGATGAATGAACTTTTAAAGACATAATGATGACATCCTTTGCATCTTGTAGCTGAAGAGAAATAAGAAAATAATAATTATTTTCTGAGCATCCATCAAGAAGAGTCATCTTTTTATTTAGTTTGGTAATTGATAGCTATATAATTGGATTCAATATTTTTTTAGTAACATCTGAGTGAAGAAAATATTGTAAGGTAGCCATTCACAGAAGATAAATACAGAAATTGGTTGCGGTTTTTTGTCTTCTCTAATACCCAATGTTGAGCTCAAATGCCTATCTGCAATAGAAATCAGAAACAAAGAGATACAACTTTTGATATTAGTTGTTTCATTTTATCTGTGATATCAAGTAAATCACTCCAGTTGCATGATAGCTTTTGCTGAGATAAAGCATTTATATTTTATAATTTTTGTATAACTTGGTATTATAAAGAAATTTTAGACTTGAAAAATATAGGACTATCAAAGAAAAAATTAATCATGGTTAATAATATGAAAAGTTGATTTAAATGGTATAAATAAGTTTATATGATGCACTGAAGGTTTACATGTTGACTTGTTATTAACTTTTACTGAAATTTCTTAAAGCAGATATTCCTAGTTTATTGCCTCTTGGCAGAGAAAATATGTGGGGAGATTGTTATCTAATTACCAATGTGTGGAAGTTTACTTACAAAAATTTATGAGATTTTTGTTCACCTATTAAAATCAATTGTTCATTTAATCTATATTTTATAGTATATGAAATATTTAGTCCTGTGAAATATATGTGTGTGAGTATGTGTGTGTGTGAGAGAGTTAGAAAGAGGAAGAAAAAGAAGTGCCTGGGTTAAGCAACTGACTTCTGTTCAGGTCATGATTTCGCAGTTCATGAATTTGAGCTCTGCATCAGGCTCTGTGGTCACAGCTCAGAGCTTGGAACCTGCTTTGGATTCTGTCTTCCTCTCTCTCTGCCCCTCCCCTGCTCATGCTATGTGTCTCTCTTGATTTCTCAAAGATAAATAAACATTTTTAAAAAGAGGAAGAAAAAGAGAAACTCTTAAATGAGCAGTTTAAGAAATTTATTACCTCACCTTTACCCCATCATGATGGGACAAGGTTGTTATTATACCTCTTTTCTCCCTCTCCTGGTTGACAACATAGTAAAATAGTATTTAGAACCCTTAGAAAATATCCCCTCAGCTCAGTTTGTCCTGTTTGCTTTGTTCTTGGGCTCTATCTTGGAGTTAAAATATTCCATCCAGTTGTCTTATAAACAAATATTTGCCTCTGAAAGAAGGATTAGACTATACATCAAAATGACAGCAAAGGGATGGATTGCAAATGAAATTATTTAGTTTTCTAGGCTAGTTTTCAGATGTTTTGTAGCGGTAGTGATATAGGGATTGCATTCAATATCATCAGAATGTAAGAAAACACAATCTTTTTTTTTACTATTGAATGCAGGATGACATTCATTTATGCATTCCCTTATTGAGTGTCTAGTAGGTACCAGACAATTTGCCAGGCCAGATGATATAATGCTAAAAAGAAAATACAACCCAGATCCCTGCATTCATCAGATTTGAAGGAGAAGATAATTATATAATGTAGTGAAGAAAGCCAACATTATTCAAATTATCACATTAATGATGTATAATTACAAATGGTTGCTCTGAAATGAAGGGGAACTGACCTATGAGCATGAGTAGCTAAGAAATGCAATTCAGGCTTGGTGTGATAAGAAAAGACACTTAAAGGATGTTTGATATGTGAAGGTCTTTGAGTGATAAATGGGGGTTGGGAGAGGTGAATTTCAAATGGTGGAAATAGTGTATGAAAGTCCTATAGTGAGAACACACCAAGTAAGTTCAGTGTGACTGAAAAATATGCAGAGCCTGGACTCTATGGGCACTTGTAAGTTATTTCAGAGATTTTGATTTTGATTTTAAGGGTAAATGAGTATACCCTAAAGTTATTAACAAGGGCAGTTACATCATGATATTTGCTTTTGACATGATCACTCAGGCTGTTGGGTGGGGAATAATTCAAGGTGCATGTGCATAAATGTGGATGACCAGTAAGGGTATGATGGGGCGGTTTACGGTCAAGTGGTGCTGATAGTTTGAACTAGGGTTGTGACAGTAGACTGGAAAGAAACTGATGTTTGGGATATATATTTTGAAGGTAGAACTAACAGAATTTAAGAATGGGTTTGATATTAAAGGTAAGGGAGATAAACCTGTCTCTTTCATTTCTGTTTTGAGTAATAGATGGATGGAAATCTGGGAAAGCATGATTTTATGTGGGGTTTGTATGTTATGAACTGTTGTTGAAACATAACGGTGGAGCTGTTAAGTAGCCTAACTATACCAATCTGGAGATTGAGTGAGAAGCAATAATATAAAGGTTTCCACTGCTATCTGAAAGTATAGCATTTCTATGAAAACTTTCATAAGCCAAAAAGCATAAAATGAAGAAGGAATTGCCATTAATTTATAGGGAAAAAATTTTTAGTGTTCTCAGACCCCCCCAAACCCCTCTTAGTCTTTTCTGATACCTTAGGACTCATCTTGCTAATGGATAAACAAAATAAATCAAGATAAAGCACAGTTGCTCACAGACACAGTTCAAAGCCCTGGTGTCTAGGTGCTGAAATGTTGAAGGTAGTTAGTTGCCTAGGAAGGAGCTTGGTTGAGCCACTCTCTCTGCTCCATGCTCCTGAGGCATGCTGCTTCTTTAAGGGGTGACTGCAGAACAAACTCTCAACACCATTAACCCTTTTCACTGTGTGTTTGTGTGTGTGTGTGTGTGTGTGTGTGTGTGTATGTGTGTGTGTGTGAAAGCAAACATTGTTTTCATATTTCTTTTGGTTAATGAAAATAGGTACATACGTAGGTGTTCAGTAAAAGCAAAGTGTTCTAAGGTAAATTTTGAAAAGCAGGAGGTAGCTGTAATTATAACCACAGATGTTGTTGAATGTTGGCTGGATGAATAGAGTAGGTATGTGGCTAACAACAATATTTGATAAGCTATAATATTAAATGGTGAAGCAAAGGAGTGGGATGAACTTGCAAAATGGCTAAGAAGGAGTTTTCTTTACAGAAATTCTACAGAACTGGAAGTGAGGAGTGTCATAAACATCAAGTAAAGTGACTATTTCTTGAAAAAAAGAAATGTTATTTGGATAGAGTGATAGAAATGCTTGAGTGGACGAGGTTCAGAAATTAGCCAGAATGTGATCCACAACTCTTTCATAAAATTCAGAAAGTAGAGGAGAAAAATAATCTTAAAAACCTGCGTGATTTGAGCACCTTTAAGGATAGAAGTTAATAACTGAGTGAGGGAGTTTAGAAAACAGTAATCAGCATGGTTAAATAATTGGTTAAGTGTCTCAAGAAGTCAGACAGATGTACAGTATGGATTAGATAGGAGAAGGAGCTCCTTTTTTGTCACAATAGGGGCAGAGATATGTTGGTGGAAAATGATAAAACAGAATATAGTTTAATTCAAAGCATTGATTTGTTGGAGCACCTAAGGGCCTCAGTCAGTTAAGCATCCAACATTGGCTCAGGTCATGATCTCATGGTTCAATGGTTCAAGCCCCGTGTCAGGCTCTGTGCTGACAACTCTGAGCCTGGAGACTGTTTCAAATTCTGTCTCCCCCTCTTTCTGCCCCTCCCCCATTCATGCTCTGTCTGTCTCTCAAAAATAAATAAAATGTTATAAATTAAAAAAAAAAACATTGATTTGTTGGTTTGAAAGAGGGCTTAGAGTTTATATGATTATACATTTATGCTATTTTACAATTTCTCTGGTGTGTCCAAAGACACAGAGCAGTGGAAAGACTCCTATAGGTTTTAGTTTAAAGCACTTAGGAATAAATTTTTTGAAGATATTCTTTATGATAGTGTTGGGAAAATGCCTTCACAACTCAATATAACTGTCTGCTTAATTTTTGTTGTACCTCAGTTTATTAAGTGCCTACCATAGAAAACTACCTTATCAAACTCTCAGCAATCTTTACTAGTGGATTATTTTAGTTAAGTGTTATTCATCAAATGTACTCAAAGAGGAGTTAAAGATTTATAAGTATGTTGATAATTGTACTCTATATAGATGCTTAGAAAATTAGCCATGGTTTAAAGTTTCTTTCATTTTCATTTTCTTTCAACTTGACTTTAATAAATTTTTCCTCAATACATTTTGGTTGGCTTCTATATTTTTATGTATGCAATGTTGTGTAAAGCTGTATGAGTGAGAAATGTTAAAAAAAAAAGTGTTTGTTATGATGAAGGGGATTCTAATCTTTATTTGGAGAGGCTTACCTCTTATGGAGGTTGGCAGTTGCCTACAAGTTTTGATTAGATCTGTGAAGATTTCTATGCTCTATTAAGTACTTCTTGATGCATTTTTCAACATAAAATGCATTTTCTGATTACTTGCAATGCTAATTTTCACAGGTGAAAAGCAATAAGAATGTTTAAGTGCTGGTCAGCTGTTTTCATTCTTGGATTCATTTTTCTGGAGTCAGAAGGAAGGCCACCCAAAGAAGCAGTATATGGCCTTAAATCCTACCAACCTCTAATAAGATTGCGACACAAGGTACAGTCACCATTCTGAATTTGCTCACAGTGACTACCAATTACGAACTAAACTACTAGGTGTCTGCTTTATTATTCACTCAGGAGCACTTATGTCAGTGTATGCCTTCAGAATTTTAAAATATAAAATGGCAGTAATTTAGACATTTATAATTTGGGGAATTAAATATTTCTTGACAAAATACAGAGATGGCTTATTGAAAAAAATCATTAAAAGTTCCATTAAGCCATAGTAACGGATTTATAAAAACAAGTAAGTCTGTTAAGACCTAATCAACCAGATAGTTTCTTTCATTCCCATATTAAGTTAGGAATTTTTAAACTAAAACATAAGTATCATGTTTTCTAATTCACAATAAAAGTAACCAAAAAGGGATGTCTGTATCATCTGGAGATATATAGGTTGGCAAAGAATTAGTATTTGTAGAAATCATTAGACATTTTAATTTCATAAAAATCATAATGTTATTTTAAATTGGGCAAATACCTCACTTCCTTATGTTAAATAGTTTCAAGTATAAAATAAGTTGATATTTAGACATCCTATAAATTATATAGATTATATAGTTATATTATTAAGCTAATGGTTTTTATTTTAGTAACAGATCATGATACTAAAGCAATGCTTAATTCAATCAAGTTAAAAATTTATAATACATTTGGTCTTAATAGAGAGAAGATAATAATAATTACAGGAGAAAAAATATATTTTAAAATTTCATATGTTACTTGTCTTAAACAAAATACTTAAAATAAATATAAGTATGGTTGATCCTTCAGCCATGTGGGGTTAGGGGCAGTACCCCTATGTAGTCGAAAATCTATGCATAACTTTTGACTCCCTCAAATCTTAAATAACAATAGGCTATTGTTGACTGAAGCCTTACTGATAATATAAACAGTTGACTAACACAAATTTTGTATGTTATATGTATTATATGCTACATTCTCACAATAAAGTTAGCTAGAGAGAAAATGTTATTAAAAAGTAGAAGGAAGAGAAAATTTACATTTACACTACTGTACTACATTTGTTTAAAAATAGTGTATAATTGGACCCACCCAGTTCAAACCTGTGTTGTATACATACAAATATATATCCATGCATACATTTTTGTTAAAATTCTTTCTTAATATTACAATGTTTTTGATTAAAAAGCTAAGTTTTACTTGGATTTTTATGTGCCAGACCATAGGGTAAGCTCTTTAATGTCATATTTTATTTAATAAGCAAACAATCTTATAAAGATCTACCTGTTTAATTTTATAAATGAAAAATCAATTTGTAAAAACATTAAGAGATTCAATGAATGTATATATGTATTAAATATATTAATTGACTGAGTTAACATGAATATAAGCTTGATAGCCAGAAAAAAGCAAAATAAGTAAAATATGAAAATATACTAAGTGTCAAAAATCATTGTTAAAATTTAGTCATGTGTAAAAGGAAATAAGTTTCTAGATAAATGCAATTGGATAATTCGACTTGTTCCACTACTTTTCAATTATCATTGTGTCCCCTACCTCACAGACTAGTCCAAAGTTTAGAAATAATAACTCCTTTATGAATACCCTGAAAATATTATTAATCCAATATATTGACTTATTTTGTTACATACTAGTGAATATTTATTCTCTGCTGTTTGTCTCCCCTAAGTTATATGTCTTGAGGTAGGAAACAATGCCTTTCTAATCTTTACTTTCTGGTGCCATGAGCATAGTTGAGACTGTTTATTTGACTCCATGGCAGAAAAATGACCAGCAGAATGCATGGCTATGCTGTTTTTATTTTTCTTCTGCTAAATAAAATACCACAGGTTTTTATGTGTCAGTATACATTTATAAACAAACTATTTTAAATTAAATTTGGATGTTGAAAATAAATTATTGATCATGCATTATTTAAACCTTTAAAGAAAAGAAACAACACAATGAGTCAAGCTTGTTTTAGAAACACTGATAATCCCCCCAAATGATCAAAGTTACCTCTCAATCTTTTCAATCTCTATGGGTCTTACCTTAAATAGTTAGCGGTAATATATTATTACTGTTATTTAAAACAGAGAGGCAGAGAATGTTAGTAATACCTAACTTTCAAACAATTTGAGACAGAGGTAATATTAAGTTATAAAAGGCATTCCATGAGTGTGTGTGTGTGTGTGTGTGTGTGTGTTTGTGTGTGTATTTTGACAAGAATAAAGAAGTATCCTAGGTTGTCAAAGTCCCTGCCAAAACCTCACAAGTACTTTCTACTCACTAGCAACACCCTACCCAACCACAGGGAATACAGGTCTTTATTTCCCCCAAGACTTTGAAGATTAATCTCATTATAGTCTTTCTATCTATCTATCTATCTATCTATCTATCATCTATCTATCTATCTATCTATCTATCTATCTATCTATCTATCTATCTATCTTTTAAGTAGGCCCCAACACTAGGGCTGGAACTCATGACACTGAGATCAAGACCTGAGCTGAGATCCAGTCAGATGCTCAACCGACTTGGCCACCCAAGCACTCTGCCTTTATTTCTATTTGAATTAATTTTTATTTAGATCCCAGAAATGCCCTGGTATCCTTTTTTCCACTGATTCCCATTTCAGTTATGGTTAGATGCAACATTAGTGGTGAGGATTTCACAAACCATAATTAAAAACGGTAGGGTCACAGGCATTTTCTATATCTTCTTTTAAAATATATTTTCATCCAGAGGCACCTGGGTGGCTCAGTTGGTTAAGGATCCGACTTCCGCTCAGGTCATGATCTCATGTTCCATGGGTTCCAACCCCCTGTCGGGCCCTATGCTGACAGCTCAGATCCTGGAGCCCACTTCAGATTCTGCATCTCCTTCTCCCTCTCTCTCTCTGACCCTCCTCCACTCTCTCTCTTTCTCTCTCTCTCAAAAGGAAATGAACATTTAAAAAGTTTTTTTTAAATAAAATACATTTTCATCCATAGAACTTATCAGCATTTGACATATATATTTATATGATAAATACATATAATATGTGTATGTGTATATTATATATGTATATTTCACTTATTTATTAGTTTATTAGATTGTTCCTTTCCATAATGATGTGAGCCATTATTCATCTTGAAATCCTGCAGGACCTAGAATTGTATTTGGCACATGGCCAAATTTAATAAATATATATGGAATGAATGACTCCATCTACTGACTAGAATAAGGCTGAAATCATACATATATATATCATATATATATAATTACATTATAGGGTTTATTATAATTAATAATAAATTAATTAGGTATGATTTTTCTATCATTTTATCATAGTAAATACAACAAATACTTAATAAAATGTTTAAAATAAATTATTTTAACCTACATAAATTAATTTCCTATTATTTGTTATTTTTTGACCTAGAGTTTTATTTAAATAGCAAAGAATATAAATGTCTATATTTCTGTAAGACTTAGGGAAGATTTTCTGTTTGATTTAGGCTCCACTGTATTGAATATATTTATTGACTAATAAACTATAAAATAAAAAAATAGATAAAATAGATCTTGAGATATAATTAGCTATTTTCCACATTTTCCCCAGAAAGATGTCAGTACTTTGACTCTGAATAAATGTTATATTTAAGATTCATTTTTACCAAATATTTGTGTGCCAACTGTATAATGAATCCTCTTTGAGGAAGAAAAAATAAAATGTGACTTATTTGTCAGATTACACAGAAATATATTGTCGATCAAAATATAAATATATATACATGTTTATGTTATTTATTACTATATGTACACATAAATGTGATTGAAACATATTTGTCTGTGTCTTAAGATAAAAGTGAATACCACATAAATTCATCATGCTAATTCTAGAAATTTTAATTATAGTCTGCAGTATGTCTGAAGGAGCTGATCATGTATTTTAACTGTTGAGTTATCCAACAGACACTTATGGAACATCAAATGTAGGAATTCATTAACTTTATTCCATTCATTAGGTCATTTAATTATGAATATTCATATGTAGTAAGGAATTTTATTATTTCTTAAGTGAGGAAACTAGATTCACAAATGTATAGTAATTTTTAATGTTACATACCAAGAAATTTAGGAAAAAGTATTGAATACACAGACTAAATAATGCAGAGTGTACAATGGGAACTTTTTGTAGTAATTTGACCTGTGTATCATATATTTCCTACTCTCCCCACGTTCTGATCACATGGTAGGAAGGTAGGATGTTATATCCCTTTGCGGTTGGATGGGACTTTGTGTCTAGTTCTGGCCAGTGAGTTAATAGAAGTGCCATGGGATGCATCTGCGTTGAACATTTGACTACAATTACAGAATGGTCCTGAGCTCTCTTTCCTCTAGCATCACAAACAGCATCTGTTCAAGGTAGTGGTTGCTCAGTCAACCCAAGTGTCTAAATAACTAGGAGTAAAACACTCAGGTAATTAGTAATTGTCTTGAAAGATAAAACGAAAGAGAGAAAAAACAAAGCAAAACACTATCATTTTAAACTACTGAGATGTGGGAGTTGTTTGTTATCTCAGCATGACCATAGCCTATCCTCACCAATAAAGATATCCTCACCAGTAAAGACAGAACTAGAACTTAAACTCATGTCACCGAATCAGCAATCCCAGGTTCCTTTGTCTATACCATCTTGGCTTCTTATTTCATTTCCAGTCTTTGGCTTTTTCTTACTCTCTCTTCTCTCTTTCTTGTCCCAACTTCTTGCTGGGTCATAATTTTTGACCACAGGGTAATTTCCTATTGTGTTTATAACCCTGTAACATGCATGTCAAAATATTTTAGTATATTGCCATATACTCTCATTGGTTGGTTGTAAATCCTATTAGGAACAGTACTATACCTCATATCCCTTTCCTTACCTATAGCACTGATCACATTGCTGCATTGTGTGCTGCTGGTGATAATCAAAGTCAGGCTTGAAGGAAGATCTTAGGAGGACAACAGGAGTGTTCTTTGAGTATACCTACTGTCCTTAGAGAC